TAACCAGATTCAGACATAGACAGAGACGAAACTTTCAGTACCATGCATTAAAACGCATAACACATAGATAGTTCGAGCTGATTTAAGCAAACTTAGTACTAATACAGACGACGAAGATGACGATAATTTGCTGCCGCATATCCATTGTTGCATGCTCTCTCACTCTGCAGACGACGAAGATGACGCCGCTCTGAACATTCAGAAGTAACAACAATAAGTGCAGGCAAATGTAGTATGAAGGAAGAAATAAGTTCAGAGACATACATAAACAGAAAACACAGAGCAATCAGAGAACATGCGGAGAACTAATCCTCTCTTGCTTCCAACGCAGCCAACATCCTAGTCCACCGAGTCCTTGTTACTTGGAATCGATGGAAGCTTGCCCTGTCTCTTGCCCAACAGATGACAAGGTCATCTATGATGTGCGTTCCTTCTGGGAATGCCTCATTGAACTGCTTGACATCGTTGGCGTTGCATTCTGCCATAATCCTGGCAGCCAGCCTCCGCCATCGCTCCAGCGCACGCGCTCTGCGGTTGGCCCTCACAGCAGCCCTATCAACCTCCTCATGGTCATCCACTACCTCTCCTAATGCTGGATCCATCTCTGGCTGAACTAGGGTCCGCGTGCTTCCGCGGCGGCTAGGTTTTATGCTAGGGGAAAGATGTTGTACGATCGCTGCGTCTTTTGTAGACAGAATGGCAGGCTTGGGAGGGGGGTGGGCAGAGAGATCCAATAACCGAGCCCAGTACCAGGCCCAAAGTAATAAAGCATAACAGGGCAGCAGGCCCATCTTAGACAAGTTCAATTTCACACAAGTTCAATTTCAGACAAGTTCAGACAAGTGCAGAAAATAAGAGCAGAAACTAAGAGCAGAAACTAAGTTCAGAAACTAAGTTCAGAATTACCATTAGTTACCACTTGCATAGAAGTAGCCCTTCAATTTGGAGCTTGGATACCTCTTCCTTTTGGTCCCTGCCAAACCTTGTGCAGAAGTTGTGGCAGATCTTGGTGCACTGAAACCAGAATTTCTCCCTCTACCTGCAGGTCTGCCCCTTCTGGATGTAGCAACAAGGGCTGGTGCTGATGCAGAAGGTCCTGGAGCAGAATGTGATGCTCTATTTGCTGTTACAGCAGGGACTAATATGGTAGGATTGGCTCTTCTTCCAGTTGTAGCATGGCCTTGAGCTGGTGCAGCTGGTGTATCTGCATAAACTGCCCTGTTTTCCTGCATTCAAGAACCAGGACACATTTAGTGAGGTAAATACCATAGAAAAAGGAAACTTGTAAGTCATGTAATTACCTGATGTTTGTTTTTCCTCATCTGAAGCTTAGGCCTCAGAGCCTTCTGGCAACTTGTATACTTGTGTCCTTCTAGCCCACAGTTGCTACATGTTATAGTCCCCATCCTACTACTATCTCTTGGACCTGGAACTTCAAACTGCCCTTTCCTCCCTGCAGTTTGTTTTTTCCCTGCCTTTTCTTTAAAAACAGGAGGCTCAATGTCTGGTGTGTTTGTTTGAGGCCAGCAATCTGGACCAGGGACAGGGTATATAATTTCTTTGTATGTCTCAAAATATAATGTCTTCTTGAAAAATTCACTAACATAGTCCTCAGGATGCAGTTTTTGCTTTGTCATTGCAGATATGGCATGACTGCAAGGTACTCCTGACATGTTCCATCTCTTGCAATCACAGGTACATTTTTCCATGTCAACAGAATATTGTTTTTCTTTGCTGGTAACTTGCCATATTGTTTCACCTGCTCTATCATCCTGGCAATACTTGGCATATTTCTTGTTCTCTTCTAAAATCTCTGCATAATTGGGTGTGATTGTCCACCTGCTAATCTGTAACTTCTCTCTGGTCTGCTGCCTCTTGATCATCTGCTTGGTCCTAATCCCTTCAAACATTGTCCTTATAGGCTTAGCCCTAACATCCAGTATCATCTTGTTGAACACTTCACTCAGGTTGTTCACCACTAGATCTGTTTTGCATGTATGATCCATAGCAAACCTAGCCCAAGCAGAAGCATCAATCTTTTTTAGCCATTTCCAACCATTCTCACACTGTGCTTTCAAATCTGCCATCCCTAATTCATGACCATGTTTTGTGTAAGAGTAGCTAGCCTGGTCCACACATTTCTTTAGTTCCTGCCCCCTAAATCCAGCTGCTTGGAAATTTGCATATATGTGCCTAAGACAGTACCTTTGAGGTGAATCAGGGAATACCTCATTTATTGCCTTAAGCAAGCCCTGTGCATTAACAAATTAGTAATGCACATGATCAAACTTAAATAATTCCAATATTTACTAAAACAATATTTATCTAACATATTTGTGCATAAGACACTAACCTTTTGCCTGTCAGATATGATGGTGTATGTTCCAAACTTGTTGCCACTACCAATGCAACATCTCAACTGAGTTAAAAACCAAGTCCAACTCTCTCCGTCTTCCTTGTCAACCACACCAAAAGCTATGGGGTAGATGTTGTTGTTGTTGCCATCCCTTCCTGTGGCTGCAAGTATTTGTTGTCCAGTGGTTAACTTGATGAAGCATCCATCAAGACCTGGATTAAGTGACAAATTAGCTACAACATAGAACTACTAGGAAACCACTAATTAATAACAGTTAAATCTTCAAAGTTACCTATAACCTTCCTTTGAAGCTGCTAAAAAGTAGAAAAGATACTTGAATCTAGGAGTAGGTGCTGGGTTTTCTGGATCTTCAAATGTTGTCACTATACACCTGCTCCCAGGGTTTGTATCAAGAACAGCTTGAAGATAATCTCTTAACCTCAAATACTGCTGCTTGTGATCACCTTGCACCACGTTAACAACCTTCCTCCTTGCCCTATATGCCACACTCCTTGACACATCCACTGAAAACTTGGTCTTTGTCTTTTTAATTAATGCATCCACAGGAGATCTAATGTCTTCTCTCAGTGCTTCCTGTACTGATCTGGACAACCACTTTGTAGTAACCTTTGTGGACTCTGCACATGCTCCACAAGTGTGCACAATATCACACTTCTTAATGCAGAAAGTTTTCTCATGAGCTATTTTAGAGGCAGTGATATGAAAATCACATCCTTGTGCTCTCTCTGAACACCAAACAATAATCCTATCTGGGGCATTTCTATGGTATTGAAAGTTCCTCAATGTCCTAATGTGAAAATCCCTAAGTGCATCTCTGTACTCATAAATACTGGTGAAGCACAATCCCTTACAAAACTGATCTTCTGAGTTTGGTAGTTTGGGATTGAACCATACCCTTCCTTCAACTTCATATTCCTTCTCTTCCTACCACTTGGTAGTTTATAGGATCCTTTAGGCTCATCTTCTTCATCACTAATGCCATAATCACCAGGAAAACATTTTTCATCAGCTTCAGGCAACCAATTTGGTTTTTCCATTTTCTCAGCCTCATTGTGTGATGTAATTGTTGGACCAGGATTTCTCACTGATTTTAGTTTTTGTGCCATTGGTCTATCTTCATCATCAGATGAAAAAACTGCTTGCAGTTCCACACTGTTGCCATCTGAATCAGACAGAAATTCTGATACATCAGTGTCACCTTCAAAATGATTGAGGTCAGCTTCTCTCTGAAGAATACTTTTCTTAAGCTCTTTCTGTCCATGCTTGTATCCACCAACTTAGTGCAACTTTGTTGGGTGTTAATGCAATGATCAACAAAATAATAATCTCTGTTTTCATCTGCATTACACAGCTCATTTGCTCTCACAACTCTTATGTTCACACTCTTTTCATTTAGAGAATGGAGCAACATCTGTTGCACATCATCTTCAGAAAATATTTTCTCTAAGCCTTCTATCCCTTTATGAGCATCACTAACATAGTACATATAATCATCAGAGCAGCAACCCTCACTCCTAATAAGAGATATCAGAGTCCCAAATGATATGTCTGACTGGTACATGTTTCTAACAACTGAATCTCTGCCTTCTAAATGGAACCAAATTCCCCATTTTGGGTCATCAATACTGGACAAAAATGGAATGAATTATTATAAAGAATGCACACTGCTAAAGTTTCTAACAATTTGCAATTACTCTGTTATCATACATTAGGGGAAATTGACCTAAAATACATCCTGTCAATAAAACTGAAAAGGAAGAAGATATGTTGTACCTGCCGCCTCCCGCACGAGGAAGCTTGCACCGGCCACGAGGTGCACTTCTTGTCGTCGTCGGTGGTGGAGCCGCCGCCAACTCCTGGGATGGCTCGCTGGTGGTCGAGCCGCCGCCGCCAACTCCAGATTCAGGCTGTTGGGTCGCAAAGCTAGAGCTTCCTAGCCACGTATCGACCTCCGAAAGGTCGACGTGGCCCCCAACTACGTCAGGAGGTTGGCCGCCGAACAAATCGTCGTCGGGGTTTGGATCCAACGCCGCCATTACCACCGCCGCCTAGGAATACAGAGGAGAGAGCTCGGGGAAAGAGATGTGGTTCGGCCGGTCGGCTGGTCGGTCGGTCGTTTTGACCTAGCCCCTGGCTGGTTCCGACCGAGCCAGGCCACTAACGGCCGCGAGCGGCGTTCGTTAGCCGTTAGGGACGCCGTCGGCCTGCCATGTGGGCCATCCCTGTCAGTTAAGCGGTTAAAACGGCTAACTGGACGATCAACATGACTTGGTAGTTTTTTGTCATAAAATTTGAAATTTTTGATAGTTATTAGTCATTTTTTGAAAGTGGTAGTTCTGTGGGACGGATACCCTAATGTGGTAGTTTTTTTGTCAAATACTCGGCAGTGGACAAGGAAAAAGAATCCGGTTCGGTGCCCCCGGCACCGCCGCCGCGTTGCCCTCCGACGCTCCCCCGTCCCGTCCGTAGCCGCTGGCTATTTCGGCCCCCCGCCCTCCCTCGCCGCCGCCCGTTCCGTTTCTTCCTTCGCAAGTTGGTCGCGCGCTCAAGGAGCCGAATCGCCCACCTTCCCCCCCAAGCCCCGCTCCCCCCTATCCCACCGAGCGAGCGGAGGACACCCGAGATGGCGGCTCGGCGGCTGGCCGGCGCGGGCCGCGCGGTGCTCTCGCTGCCCAGCGTGCGGCGGCGGGCGACCAACTCCTGGGCCGCCGTCCGCGACACCTTCTTCTCCACCAAGGTAAGCTCCCCCCGCCCCGCCCCGCCCAGATCAAATCAAAGTTAATCCCATCCCTGACGCGCCCCCGACCCGCGCGCCCCTCGTGATCTGGTTTTGATGCCCCGACGCGGTGCGTGCGTGCAGGAAGTGTTCGAGAGCCACCGCGTCGTCTTCACCATCGGCACCTCCATCGCCTCCGTCCTCACGGCCTGGGCCGGTAAGCCCCCTGTTCCATCCCCTGCCCTGCTCTCCCCCGCCGTCCGTATGCTGTCTTCGGGGTTCAGAGTGTATCGCTGGCCCGTCCGCTTGATTACCTTTTTGTCTTCAACAATCGCCGCTGTATCTGAATGGAGAGAGTCAGGGAGTGATGCAATTGTGCAGCTGCTTGCTGCTGAACCCTAATTAGTTTGTTTGTCTTATGTAATACCATTGGGCACACCTCAATTGGAACCACAGCTGCACCAGAGCAATTTTGTTTCAGAATGCCCCTTGTGGTGGTGACTGAATGCAAGTGCACCAAGTTACAGTCTAATTGATGATTTTTTCCTCCCCAATCACTGCACACTAGTACAGTAGTAATTATTTCAATTGAAATGTTGAATTTCTTTGGTGATCCTCTGTTTAGTTGAGTTGTGGAACTACTTTCGCCCCTCACCTGACTAGTAAATGGTAAGAAATTCCAACATGTGTGCTTAATTTGAAGTCAGACTACTTGCCATTTTCAACTCATAGGCCCCCTTTCATGTACTACGATTATCAAGGGAAGTCCGCTTTATGAGCTGTTTTTGTTCATGTTGGTAATGCATGCCGAGTGGAGCATATGTCATTATGCTGTACATCTGCACTGTTTCTTAAGTTAGTTGGTAATTCTCTCTTTGGATGATTTACGGTTTCTAATACGTTTTTAATTTCTTGTTATAGGTTATTCTCTTCGTCATATGCAGCAAACAAAGATCGACAAGAGGCTCCATTCCATTGAGGAATCTGTAAGCAATTTAGGAGATAGTCTGTTAATGTCATGGTTATTTTGTTTTGTGAATGGGTTACATTCTTCTCCTTTTGTAATGTGCATTTCTCGGTGTACGACTTATAGAAATGCCAATAGGCAGTTAGACTCTTGACAGAAGTTCAAGATGGCTCCAGGGTAGGCTTAGCATAAGACAATCAGAACCCTGTGTGCATATGTCTTACTTTGTCAATTCAGTGCAACATGCTTTCATGTTTTCTGATGATGAGATTAACATGTATTTTGTTGTTTGTTTCATCTCTTTTTAAAAAAAAAATTGAGGTGATGATATTTAACATCTGTGATGAGTTATGGTGTGTTTATAACAGTGGAGTTTTACACTCTGATGGTCACAACTTTCATACAGTTAGAAACATTTGCTTCCATTTCCTGTTTCATTCTAGACGGCGGATCGACTACCTGATGTGCCTTCAGTATTTATTTGTTACTTTTATTGAATAGGTACTCTGGAGTCTGGACAATCTTTGATATATTTCTTCTCTTTTATTTTCTGAACAGTTGAGGAACACCCACAAAGTTGAACATGATGAGATCAAAAAGATTGTTACCTCCTATAACATTAGCACTTCAGCTTGTATAGCCACTGCATTGACAACTACGGTTGTTGGGTATGTTCATGCTGTTCTTAATATATATACTACTGTGATCGAAACCTTTTTCAATATTATATGTATTGGTAGCACCAGGCATATGTTACTTACTCTCTACATACATAAGGTTTCAATGCCCTAGTGAAGCTTATATATACTCTGTATGCTCATATTAATATAGTCAATGCTGATCAACATGCCTCAACTCTCAATCAATCATAGAATCATATGTTCTTATAAACATTGGCTGTAACATATATACTACAGTGAGTTAGGATTAATACTGAGTTAGGATGTGAAGGCCTATTTAGTTTTGTGTTATTTTATTGGTTGCTTTCAAGTTTATTTTTTATTTTTCTGCAGTATTTAATATCACGGCTGGTTTTCTATTTACCTGCTCCAACTTAGTGTAGCCCTCATGCTGCCACATATTTAGTTGAATACCCTGCTCCAACTATACACATTACTGGGACATGCGTAGACGACATAGTTTTGCTGTGATCTTCTGTATATGTTCCAAAGGAACTCCATGATTGAAATCCGTACTAAAGTTCCTGTTACATCCGAGTTCATTTTGAAATAATTAAGAGTGAATGCTGCACATAGGCTATTTACTTTGGGTTATTTTATTGGTTGCTTTCGAGTTTAGTTTTAATTTTGTGCAAAGAATGCACAGTATTTAATATTGCATCTGGTTTTGAATACCCTGCTCCAACTTGGCACCACCTGGATATGCATAAAAGCAAAAGTGTAGTAGCTCTGATGCTGTCATTTATTTAGAATAGCACCCTCCTCCAACTATATGCATCACTGGGACATGCACAAACGACATAGTTTCGCCGTGATTGTGCATATTCTCCGAATTTTGAAAGATATGCTAAACTTCCTGTCATGCATCAGTTCATCTGAATCAAATACGAGCGAGTGCTGCACATAAGTGGTCCTGGTCTCTGCCGTGAATCTTAGAATCCATTCTGACACCAACTCTCAATTGTCAGTGTTATCATCCTGCAAACCTGAATGATGAAACCTGCCAATCTTATGTTACTTTCAGATACGCCCTGGGGTGGCGCGGCGGAGCTTGGTACACCCGGAGGATCGTCCGGAGGGAGCAGCAGAAGCTGATGGGCCAGATAAAGTCGCAGAACCGGTGGCACTGGCGCCCCTTCAGCAAGCTCAGAAGCAGGTTCAGGAGCAACCGGCACGCCTCCAAGAGCTCTGACGCCCCGCCACTTCCCGGCAAGGATGCCGAGGCTCCCTCGGTTAGCGGGGTGTCTGTCAACAAGGCTCAGGGCACCGAGGCCCTTTCGAACAACGCGGCCTCTGCGAACGTCAGCAGCGGCTCTCGGCCAGCAGCAGCGGCGGCGGCAGGCTGCAGATGACTCTAATTAGAAAGAAAACGCGGGGTCTTGAAGTGAACAGTCGATGATGCGCCTGGGAATCGAGGGCAAAGATGGTAAGATGATGTTAGTTTCGAATGGACTGGCGGTCAGCCAGCCGCCAGCCGGTCTGATTCGGTGGTGGATAATTTTGTAGCACTAGCCACTAAACCTGCTGCTTGATTGATAGTAAGTAACAGACGGGGCTGACGCACCATAGTCCTGAAATCCTGGCGATATTTGTGTCGTCGCCATGTGTTTTTTTTTTTGGAAGCTCGTCGCCATATTTGTGTGTGGATAACTCAGCATGCGGTTGCCTGGTAGGTAGTGGCATGCTTGACCTCCGTTCGAAAAAGCTTGTCTCTTAAATGGATGTGTCTAGCAGACTAGCACTAACTTGATGCTAGATATGGGACAAGCTTTTTGGGAGGGAGGGAGTAGTTCCGATGGCAGGGCCCATGTCGATCGTGCTGCCCGGCGGGTCACAGCCGTACAGATGTTCGAGTCACGGCGAATGTTGACCGAGTTCGTGGTTCTTTGGCGCAACCCGTTTGGCACCGGGGGGACACGGACGGGCCACGGGTGAGGCCTCCCCCGCACTAGCGATCAACAACCAGCGTGGCCGGTCGGCAGCACTAGCCGGCCCACTGCCCACGCGCACCCGGTCGCCGTCACGCTAGCCTCGCTTCGCCTCCTCCGTCCGCCGCGCCGTCGTTTCCGCGGCCGTCGCGCTCCCGCCTCCCCACGACGACAAAACGCCCCACGCGCCGTGCGCCCGCGCGAATATACCCACCACCCCACCATTCCCCTCGCCGCCGAGCCGCGCCCCTCTCGCACACACTGCCACATCCCCCAGACCCCGGGCAAATATCGCCATGGCCGCCTCCGCGGCGCCACTCCGGGCCGCGCTCGCCCGCAGCCCCGCCCCCGCCGCCGCGCGCGCTCCGCCCGCCTTCCTCCCACTCCCTCCCCGCGCCCGCCGTCTCAATCCGGCCGTCCTCGTCTCCGGGTAACCTGCTCGAATAGATCCCCCACTCCGTCCTCGCCGTTCCCCTCTCTCCGCTCGGCCCGTTGATTTCGTGTCTGCGCAGGAGGGGGAGGAGGATCCGCGCGGAGGCGACGGCGAGGACGCGGCAGGAGGCCGAGGTGTCCGCCGTCGAGGACTCCTTCGCCGTCAGGGAGGCGGCCGCAGCTCCTCCCCCGGAAGAAGAAGGTGGATTCGATGAGGAGCTCACCCTCGCCGGCGAGGACGGCGACTGGGTCGTCAGGTTCGAGCAGTCCTTCAACGTATTCCTCACGGTGAGTGTCTGACTCCAGCCCTGATTCCCGGCGCATTCGAGGTCATCAGATTTCACTCTCGGCCTCAACGTTTGGTGTGTCCGTCCGCAGGATACTGTCATCTTTATACTCGATATTCTGTACCGCGACCGCGACTACGCCAGGTTCTTCGTGCTCGAGACCATCGCCAGGGTGCCCTATTTCGGTGAGGATCTCATCTTCATGTCTGCAGCTCACTGAATTCTGCCTCTACATATATGGTTTTGGTATGGTCTGGCATACAGTACAAATTTAGTCACTGTCTTGTTAACTGACTGATTGATTGTTGAACAGCGTTTATATCGGTGCTTCACTTGTACGAGACCTTTGGGTGGTCGAGAAGAGCTGATAACATCAAAGTGCACTTTGCTGAAAGCATGAATGAGTTCCATCACCTCTTAATCATGGAAGTATGCACAAAAATCTTTTATATGTCTGTTCATTCAATGTTTTTATGTCAAATTGAATTCTGATTATATCCTGTTTTCTTCCTAGCCCTTAACCTGAGCTCTAGATATATAGTTTTCTGTTTGATTATGTTATTGCATATTTCTTACTTTCTTCCTTCGCTCGGTTCCTATCAGGCATTGGGTGGTAACTCTGTATGGCTTGATCGCTTTCTTGCGCGGTTTAGTGCCTTCTTTTACTACTTCGTCACTGTTGCCATGTACATGCTGAGCCCAAGAATGGCATGTGAGTGCACATATTACTTCAACTCATGAAGTAGATGTTTCTTTTTTATTACTGTGTTTTTGTGATGATAAAGCTGCTCTGAACTCGAATATCTTGTATGCAGACCACTTTTCTGAATGTGTTGAGAGGCATGCATACTCAACTTATGACAAGTTCCTTAAGCTCAATGGAGGTAAGGCAACTTTACTGGGCTAAGTAAATTCTTCCTGTTGTGCAAGTTCTCTATCTAGGATTTTATGGAATAACAGCACCTTGCCTATTGAATACAGAGTATTAGCTTATATAGTCAAGTTGGTTATCTCCTTGTTTCCCATGTTTGATTTGAAGTATTTAACCTTCTGTTCAGAATTTTTTGAGCTGAGGGGCTGAGGGCCAAATCATTGTAACTTTGTAATGGAATCCATTTTGCAATTTATATCATTATCCTTTAACCTATATTTAAATCTGCCCTTCCTAATCCTACCAAAAAATGGAAAGCTTAAATCGTACAAACCATTGATTGCTCTTTGCTTAAATCATAGTTTTGGTGCCTACCTACCTGGGCACTGGGAAAGCTGCTAACTCAGTTAATGTGTTCTCCCAATGCAAACATTTTTGCTTTGCTCTAATGACAATTCCAATTCCGTAATAATGTCAGCTACTCGTTCTTATTTCAGAGGAGTTGAAAAAACTACCAGCTCCAGAGGTGGCTGTAAACTATTACATGAATGAGGATCTCTACATGTTTGGTAGGCCCTTACTTCACTTGTGTTCTTTTCTAGATGTACCTTAACCTGTATTTATTCTATGCTTTATATTAAACATTAATATCTATGCTTATTGCTTGCATGGCTTGTTTCCCAGATGAGTTTCAAACATCAAGAGCTCCAAATTCTAGGAGGCCTAAAGTTGGTATAGTTCTTTCTCCCCCCTGGCAGTTTTACTGAGTTAAGGTTTTCAGAATGTCAGGGCTTAACAAGTTGCCTGTAGCTTTGGGAATTAATTTCACTGATTTGTCTGTTCAAAGACATGAGTTCATTGGAAAAGTGTGCTAGCTGCCACCTTTTGCTGGAACATATATTATAGAAAACCCATCAAATCACAGTTATGATTCATTTCAGTAGAGAAAATTCCTTATTTGACACTATCTTGAAATCTGCATCCTTATTTGACACTGGAAAAGTTTTTCTTCCCTATTTGACACAAGTTCTAAATTTTATTTCCTATATGACATTTCCGTCCATTTTGAGCTTAAATGACACCTGAAAAGACTCTTTTGCCCCTCACGTGGTATGTGTGTGGGGGACAATAGCGCACACACGCAGCATCAATGCGAGGGCAGGAGCACACACGCAGCAACACATACACATGCACCAACACACACGCACGCGCACACACACGCAACAACACGCACACACACGCAGCAACACACATGCACGCGCAGCAACACACACGCACGCAGCAGACACACACATACACACACACACAGCAGCAGCACACACGCAGGCAGCACATAGGCACGCAACAGCACACACACACACGCGCGCGCACGTACACACGCAGTAGCAAACACACACGCAGCAGCACACATGCACACACACACATGCAGCAGCAGCACACATGTGCGCGTGCACCCACACACGCAACAGCACACATGCGCGCGGACACACATACCGCATGAGGGGCAAAATCGTCTTTTCAGGTGTCATTTAGGCTCAAAATGGACGGAAGTGTCGTATAGGGAATAAAATTTAGGACTAGTGTCAAATAGGGAAGAAAAACTTTTCCAATGTCAAATAAGGAACCGGATTTTAAGATAGTGTCAAATAAGGAATTTTAACCCTCTGTGCTTGATCTGCTGACTCTCCTACTCCTGCCATTCGGATTTTAACCCTCTGTGCTGATAATATAGCGCCTATAAAAAAACCTGGACTCCCCCCTTTAATGCTGTCCATAAAGATTATGAGTATGAATGAACTGCTCACTGCTCCCCTTATCCCATTGCAGATAACTTGTATGATGTATTCGTGAATGTACGGGACGATGAGGCGGAGCATTGCAAGACAATGAAGGCCTGTCAAACGCATGAAACCCTCCGTTCTCCTCATGCCGTGCAGAGCTCACTAGAAGCTGACGCAGAATGATTCTGTCAAGAAGTCCCTTGGAAATGAAGACTGACCGTTTGTACGTACCTCCGTGCTAGAGCATCGTAGAGTATCATACTAAATTTTTGTGATATATTGTATTCCATCCTTTTTCTCCCTTCTCTTCGTATGTAGACATTAGCCAGACTTTCGTACTTGTGAATCTTACATAGTGAATATAGGTTTATAAATGCATCACAGATTTACAATGAGAGATGTGTACTGTTGGTCAGGCATTACCGCGGGCCATGAACGGTGTAATCCAGCTGTGTTGTGGTCTGTGTAACATCAAGGGTTTTGAACTTTTGTTGCTTGTTGAAGGAAAAGTCTTGATGTTTTGCTGATTCAGTTTTTGCTGTTGAAAAGACATTGGGAAAACCGTGATGACGATACGTGTTGCGTATATCGTCAGTTTAGCTCAAGATTGGAAATGGTATTAAGTCTGTCCAATCAATCTATTGTATTATATTCATAAGGGTTAAAAAAGGCTTGAACATTCGTTCTAGGAGATTATAAAATATATAGCTCAAAGGTAATGTATCGACAATGCTTATTTCTGCTGGTCTAGATATATAATGGTGTAGAATAGTAAAATAAGCATTAGTACTCTTACAGGTGTATAAGGAACGCAAATGGATTTTTCACATATAAATAGTACAGATAGCAGGCAAATATAACTGTTTTTGTGACCAAATTGCCCCAAGTACGGGGTTACTTTTTCGTTTCAGTGCTCTTAGCATCTGCAGGCTGAACTTTTATTGAACTAGAAAAAAAAAGTGCATATGTGATGTTGCATAACCAGAACTAAACACTAAAGTTATCTATGTATGGAACTGACCGCAGAAGCAGATGTGGAAGTATTTGACATGGAAATGGAATCATGAAATCAAATTTAAAATAGCCGCAGCAGGTGCCCAGTTGATACAGTATCTGACGCTTATTAAGCTGCCAACGGAATTCAGAATACAAATTCACCACAAAAGGAACAAGGAAAAAAGAATCCAAATACAACGGTGAAACATCACTAAGCATTTGATTTGTCGGGGGACCCTGTTACATATCTCGAGCAGTTTTCAGCCTTCAAATAGCTCTCCCAACATCTCCTGCAAAACTTCAGGACTGCTGCTTTCGCGGCCAACATGTTTCTCCAGCTCTGGATGCTCCTCTAGGTAGCTGTGGTACCCTGAAACGACTCTTTGGGTGATAACTGTCCTCAGCTCATCTCTGAGCTGAGGGTCTGGAACCTTCCACAACTTCTGAGTCTGGTACGTTTTGTGAAATGACGACTCGAATTTGGCCAGTGAAGAGGTGTTGATCCAACAATGGATCGGTCCAGGAAATCTCGATTTTGGTATGCAGGAGAGCACATGTCCCCAAGAAACATCGAGATAACTATTCATGTAGTTCTTACGTTGAATCTTAAGTTTAAGTGTGAGGTGCCTCATCTGAGGAATGGAAGATCCTGATGACTCAGACACCACATGAGCTACGAAATAGGTATTGTTGAGCAGGAACAAGTACCTGAGGCTTTGATCCGAGCATGACTCGGATTTTGTGAAGAGCAGACCCTTGAGATAATTGATTGTGCCATTGATCAAGCCACCAAGGTTTTCAGTGTGGTGGCTCGGTGCAGTGTTTTGCGTTGAAGTGTGTGCATTCATCATGGATACTATGCAATTCATGATGAACTGAGTGATGTTGTGAATTTCGCCTCCTCCTCGCGAGATCTCCATAGCCCATGAGTCATCATCTTCCTCCACGAGTGTCCTCACTTCCTCCATCGTGCTTGCTATCATCTCGCTTAGCCTGTTTGCTTGTCTCTCTAACATGTTGCCTATCACGTTGAAAATGCTTTGGCCTTCTGATGAAGAGATGTCGACCGGCGTAAGTATGTGTGACGCACCACAGACACCGGTAAACATGTCAAGCACGACCTGTAGCTTCTTCTCCGCTTCGAGAGCGGTGATGATAACATCCACGACATCAAGCATCTCGGTGATGCTCGCTTTGACAAACCGTGCGTCCGCTGCCGTCGTGGGGAAGGGGAATACAGACTCAGTGATACTGGCGACAATTACGATAAGAGCCCGGATCCACTTCTTGACCAATTCTTGCGTCATCGCCGACTTGTCTCGAAGCAGCCGCCGAAATCCTTGCTCGTCGTGGATTTGGAGAACCCAGTCGACGTCGAGCTCCGAGAACCAATTTTCCAGGGCATGGACCGGGCTGCCGAATGCTTGTGCGAATGAAGCGTCTTCAAATGCTTGGACCATGCGCCGGATGTACCCGTGGCTGATCATTTGGCGAGCAATCCTTGTGAGCTCTTGGTTGCCAAAGCGGTCCAGCGCAACGGCGGACGCTGAACCGGAGGAGTAGGCGGAGTTGGTGGAGGGGCAAGAATTCGAAGCACTGGAGTGGCTGGATCCGCCATGACCGAAGATAGTTGATCTTCTCCACACGCCGGACACGGAGACGGCCTGGATCTGGTCGCGGTAGAGTCCCACCACCGCCGGGTGGTCAGCTTTGGCGCCGTCCGTGCTCCCCTCCGGTACGGCAGCGAGCCGCCCCGGCCCCCCTCCGGTACGGATGCTGATATTTGGTGGATGGATGAACGCCATTGGTTTGGTTCGATGGACGATGAGACTGGCAGGGGAGAGAGAAAAGCACCGTGTGAAGTGCAGTACTGGGAGTGGGAGTCCGGGCGAGAAGAATAAATACTGATATATCGGAGCCCCGTGACGACGACCGACGAAGAGTCAATTACACGGATGGTGCTAGAAGTTGGCGTAAACAGTCATTTTAGTGCTAGAACTTGCGGCATACATTGAACTGGTGCAAAAACTTGGCTCGAACATGCAAATACGGTGCTAATCGTGTTTCTATACACCGGTGACGCTGACGGGTCATGCCAGCATGGCATCAGGCCCATTGTCAGTGACCCCATGGTGGAGTTGTGACGTGTGGCATGCTCCTTTTGCGAAAAACCCCTTTGATTTTTATTTTTCAATTTTTTATGGAAAGGCCCCTTAGGTGTAAACTAATTGTATGTGTGGCATCAGGTGGGTTTCATCTGTGAGCCAACATCACAAAATTTATCAGAATTTTAAAAACAGGTCACCCAACATTCTAACTGGAGACATTGGGATAACCCATGTGCGTAGCTAGCCAACAAACCCACAAAACAATTCAGGTCTCATTAGGATAGTGACCATTTATATCTTTTAGCTAAATGATATGAACTCCAGAATTTTATTCGAAAAGAAAAGACAGGGCAGACGGGTTTCAACCCAGCGACCTGATAGATACCATACCAGCAGGAAGAACTACCAATACAACCACTGGCTCGGCTTAGCTAGAATGGATTTTTAGCATCTATGTCTACGACAGATCGCCCGCTGGACAAAATCAGACTACAGTTTGAGCGACGGATTTTAAATGTATTATTTTTTTCTTTTCATTTTTCCAAATTTGTAAAGAATATGTAAACTATAATTACAATTATAGTTATAAATATGTATTTATTTGAGAATCCATAGTCTGCTGGCACACTAGGCTCATATTTTTTCCATACGTATAGTTATAGTTGTTTTAAATACATTTTTTATAAAACACATAAACTTTATTAAAATGCATTAACAGTTTTAAAACACCATAAAATTTTTAAAGCATGAACACTTTTGTATAAAACATTAATATTAATTAAAACCTTTTATATGATCGATTTTCTAAATATATCTTCTAAAATTAATTAAAATGCACACACTTATTAAAATTATACAAATAATTCATAATTTAATTTGATGGATTTTCTAAATTAATACATGAACAATTTTAGTATATTTTATTGTATATTATTTATATTGTAATTTATATTTAAGAAAATCAAAAATGAAAGAAACTAACAGAAATTATAGCCCACGGGCAGGTTCTGCTATAGACAAAAAAACTACAACAATTCTACATAGGCATGAGATTCCATAACTTGGAGTGGCACGCCTTCTTTCTTTTACACGGGTCGCTGGTTAGAAACCCGTAACTGGATTGAAATTCTTAATTTATGTTATTAGTGTGAAGATATAAGGGAATGTACAATGATGCTATCTTAGGAGTGCCATGTAGGATAAATGATGAGGTGGAGGAGAGAGAACTCATAAGAAAAAGGCTTGTCTTCTCTTATTTAAGATAAGACAAGAGATGATATCTTAGCATAATATATGTCACCATATTTTTAGGAATAACTAGTTATGAAGATAAGGCTAAAAAATGATCCATTGTGAACATCTTTTTTTGTCATCTCTTAATTACATGCAAGATCTAAGATAAGACTATCTTATCAACCACTGTACATGCCCTAAACCTCACATATGCTTGTGTGTAATCAACTCAACTCTGGGCTGGGTGCTAGCCATGCGTGTGTGGTTGACCGATGTCTCTATACCTGACAGGGGCCTTTTATGAGAAAAAACAAAATAAAATAAAAATACAGTTGTTTCTTGAAAAAAAGAGAAAAAAAATATAGGCGTTTCTTGAAAGAAAAAAACGCCACAGGCCCATCTTCACCATGCAGTCACTGATATCATATGTTGTCATGCCTTTTCAGCATCATCGGTGTATACAAACGTGATTAGCACCGTATTTACACGTTCAAGCCAAGTTTTTGCACCACTTTAATGTATGCCGCAAGTTTTAGCACTAAAGTGACCATTTACGCCAAGTTCTAGCATCATTGATGTAATTGACTCACCGATGAATGCAAGATCTGGATCAAGTCAACAACATCAAGTAGTGGAGCCGCGTGACGACGGTTGGCGGCCACAACAACAGCTTCTACGAAAGGCGCTCGCACATGCCTTCACGAAAGGATCCAAAGCCACAGCATGCCGGTTCCGTGAAAAAAAGGAAAATAAAAAAGCACAGCATGCCGGTGCCGGGCAACAGCGGGAGTGTTACAGTGTTGCTGGTTGTTTTCCAAGGAGGTTGAAACTCTCGGCTTCTCCATCGATACACATAATTATTTTTATTAAAGTTATTAATGCAAAACAACGAGGCTACAATAATGAAATAAGCAACTACATCTGAACCGTTACAAGTTATGAATGTAACACATCCGACTAGGTCGATGTTCGCACACGAATACATCATCATATACCTCCAACGCTGAGGGTGATGCACCGCAATTCACGTCCAAGAGGACCCGTCCATAAATGCGGTACACAAGCAATGTGGCGGTCGCTTTTGACCACCTGAAACCCCACGTGTCCGGAAGGGACCCCGTTTGGATGCGCGGCGGCTATGGGTTGCCCTAGGTCGATTCGCCCGCCGCTAGACTCTCGAGGATCATTGCCCTTCAACATGAAGAACGAACGAAGAACGAGAGAGAAAGAACAAAAGAGAGATGTAAAATTAGGGTAAAAAGTAGATGTGTTTTGCGATTATGTGTTGTTGTTCAATCGGTCGTCACCTCTTTACTATATTATTATTTTATTGAGGGGTCATCACCATGCTTTATTTTAATCTCAATAATGTTTTTGGTACAAAGACAACAGTAGGGGTGGTAGATAACCAAAAATGCCGACCGGCGTCGAGAGAGGCCGAAACCTTGGCCAGATCATGGGCTTCAAAAATTGGATTACCTTCCCCCATAGCAACATAGCAACATAGGAAAGTACAACATACGCATTTCAACATAAGAGGCGGATGGATAGCAACATAGGAAAGTACAACATACGAATCGAATCACGTTTGACGTGAGATCCCATCCCTAATTCAGTACCCTATTCTTTTTTTTTTGGAACAGGTTTTCGCCCCGTTTTATATATAAATCATCAACCAACCAGAGTACACGGCCGAACGATACAAACGGATCGGTGTCCCTCAAACAATGCCGATCCCAAGCTAACTGATCACGCAACATGCACACAGCTATGCAACCGAAACAGAGTATAGGAAGAAGTGAAAACAACACCATCCTAAGCCCTATAGCACCTAAGTTCCACGACAATGCCCCCGGGAGGGAAAACGGCGTTAGGCGTCGCCGTTGCCGAGTTCCGATAGACATAGGTTTATACTCGGAACCCGGACATAGAGAGGAGCACCACGACGACGTCTTCAGGAAGATAACTGCGCCCACGAGCGTCGCCGTCGTCGGTGACAAAGCGCGGAGCTTTCACTCGACAACTCTGATGAGCACATGACTACCTTGGATACGACCAAAAATATTGCATACATGCATATTTGTGAGGTGATTTCTAATGCAAACTATGCAATAATTTATTTATGTTATCGAGGACAAAAATACTTCACAGACTTTTGTGTCATGTCTAATTGCAGGTGTATGAGACATTTGTACAATCCACATATGAAGATAATGAAAAAAGAGAAGTTTAGATGCCGTTCAAAAAGTCCTCTCACGTCACTTTTGGACCAAAAGAAGATAGAGTCAAAGTCTCACATTCTGGACTCAGATTCGGACTGCACAGACATATCTGACTCAAAACGCCAAGATCCCTTCCATCCGGACTTCGAATTGGGTGATTCTCTTTTCTTGGAAAGTAGAATACATGCTCTTTCCAACCCAATTGGATTCATCTTCAAATTCGTTCGGAGCTTTGAGATATTGATGAAACAATATGACACTGCAGCAGAATCTGAGTAAAATAACAAGTTCAAAGGTGTTGCATCACCTCCACTTGGCCCCATGGGCCTTGTATGACCTAGGGTCAGTTTTAGGCTGCCTTGGGACCTCCTCCCACCTCCTTGGCCGCCACCCCTTGCTCCTATATAAGTAGATCAATCTAGTAGCTTTTTGCTTGGGATTTGTTTAGTTAAAAGTTAGCCATTGCAACTTCGTGTACTTTGTTTGTGTCCAACGATCAGACCAAGACCGCTTTCGGATCCCCACCTTTATCAATACTTCATCTATATTCACAATATTCAGATTGCATTATCACATTCTTGCTTATCTTCGATTGCGTGCAGGAATAGACCTTCGTGGTCAGGCTGATCGTGCTTCCAGCATCATCAGTAACCACGGGAGATTGGTTTAGCGGTTGCTAAGGCGTAACATCATGCACGTTTGTAGTCAGATTGTCAAAGTCAACTCCACCAAATCGACTGTTATCATCTCATCAAAAGATCGAGACATCCTCACCTCTATCAAACTCCATTGTGTCCCTAAACGAGGTCTCCAGGACAAGCGTGCCGAGCCCATAACTCCAGATCCAGATCAGGGCACCACCATCATCAGGGACAAGAGCGCGCTCGAGCCACCCGCTGCACCACCTCTTGCCTCCCACACGAC